AAATTCAATTTCTTACAGATAGCAATTAATTACCCAGAGGCAAAGCTGCGGTTCCGAAACACTAACGAGAACACAAAAAGCCGCTCTATAAAATGCAATAAGAAAAAATAGAAATAAGCCTCGAATTAGTAAAATTTCGGCTAAGTCTCGGATTCGATCTGCGACCGAGATTATGAGTCTCGCGCTTTTACCACTCAGACACAGACGCTTAAAAGCTCAAAAAAACAAGCCACAAATAAATCAGAGAACAGTTGCTATGAAATTTACCAATGCAAAAGATCGTGATTATAGCAAAATTGCCACCAAATAAGTGAACACTTTTATTTGCGAGTTAGGTCAGAAAAAAGAGGTTCGTACTAATACACTACACTCGCCAGTTTAAGCAGAGGCGAAGCTCATCTTCGCACAACATGCGATACAGCGAGCCACCGAATCGTAAAAACAAGATAAAGAACGCCAAAAAAAAACAACCGAAATTTCAAATGTTTATTTCAAATTTAAACTCATTTTCATGAAAACCTGGGAAGGAAAACAACAGCCAGCATTGAAATAGCATAAAAGTTACCGAGCGGTAACTAAGCAAGCGAAACCGGGATAAATGTTCACGCAGAGGCGAAGCAGAGATTCGCACCACTTGCGATACAACAAACATAGGACACGAAGTCGAAAAAATTGAAAAGAAAATAGGATGAACCGAAATATTCGTATATCTCAATAAAAAACCTAGTGGCCCAGCTCAAGCTGGAGGTAGCTGTTTGATATTTTAAGAGTTTTTCATACTGATGCGGGATGCGATGGGTAACTTCAAAAATTGGACTTTGGCCAAAACGGTAGTTACTCTTCTGAAATAGTTGGGACTAAAAAATTTTGAGAAATTGGGATCTTTCAAAAGACATAACATTTTTATTTCAAAAAATAAGGAGTCGCTGCTTGGAAGGGTACTTTAAGAAATTTATAAAAACGGTCAAAACTCAATAACCTAGCTTTCCGAAATCCATACCGTGTTTCTGCAAAAAAGATCGTGGTCGCTTTTGCAGAAAAAACTGCCAAAACCAGCCTTCTCGATTGAAAACTTAAAGAATTTGAAAAGTAGTTTTCGATAAAAGTCAAAAAGAATCAAAAAATGGTCGAATAGTCAAATATCTGACTATTCCGAAGGCCAGAACTTTCTGTGTAAACAGTTCAACCGTAGCCGCTTATGCAGGGGAGTTTTATACAGCCCCTTCTATTCATTGAACCAAAATCTTAGATTCGGTAGAGTAGTTTTTGTGAAACTCTTCAAAAAAAAACTCAAAATCAGACTTCAGACTTGGTGCAAAATGAAAAATTACGGAAAATTATGGTAAAAACTTCTTCAAAAACCAAAATTAAATCCATGCTAAAACAGGAAGATAAAAATTTAGAAGCAGATAATATAAAGGCCATTTAAACCAAAAACGGAAAATGAACCAACAGATACTAGTCCGAAAATCACGAGCCTAAAACCAACAGATACTAGTCCGAAAACCACGAGCCATTCTTGCAAGATGTTCATTTGAAAAATAATTAATGCCCGAAACGTACTCCACCTATTTTCTACCCAGATGAGGTAGTTTTAATTGAATTTTCAAAAATTGAGCATGTTTAGAAACTGACCACTCCAACAAATTGGACATTCTCTTTTTGGACATTGGAGAATTTTTGTTGCTAGTCGGTCGGTTCAGATTTTTGGCACAGCTACTTTTTCCCAAAAAATTTCTCCAAATTCTGCTTCTAAAAATCACATTAAAACATTAACGAATTTCTTTAACACCCTTGCGATAAGCAAGGGTATTGAAATCGAGTACAACACTTTCTCCCGTAAATGAAAGTCATTTACGGGAAAAAAAGTGTTGTACTCGATTTCAATACCCTTGCTTATCGCAAGGGTGTTAAAGAAATTCGAAAATGTGATTTTTAAAAGCAGAATTTAGAGAAATTTTTTGGGAAAAATTAGCAGTGCCAAAAATCTGAACCGACCGACTATCAACAAAATTCTCAGACATCATTAGAAAATAAGACAAAACTTGCTTTGAACTAAGTCCAAGCAAACTAAGACAAAGAAAGAATCCAAAAAATTACAAGCAAAATATGAACAATTTTTTTTAAAATTAAAAGTAATTGGTGGTCTGATGGTGCCACTTAAGACCCCTTAAAACCGAGCCTCTTGCAGAGAGAATTTATCGTTCTACAAAATATAGACTGGAAAGAACTTGAAGTCAAATAAAAATCAAATGACGAAAAAGCTGATTGAAAACTATACATTGAAGATTGCGAATTAACTCATGACCTCAGTTACCTTCGCCAAAAGAATATGATAAAAACAGCAAGTGATTCGAAATTTTCTTCTTTATTTTTTGACGTTTTTTCAGAAAAGGTCAACAAGTGGTTGACAAATTTCAAACCATTTCATACCTAGTTAAAGTTGAATCAATATCAAAAAACGACTGGATACAGAAAAATTACAAAAAAAAACATAACGTAAACAAGCCGACATAATTTAAGATGTCATTTAATGAGCTGAACAACAGCCAAAACATTTTCATTTAAAAAATCATACAGAAAAATCTTGCATCTACCACCTACTAAGCAAGCTGTAGCCCTATACGTAAGATCTATATTGTGTAAAAATATGAAGATGCATATTTGTGAACTTACCAATCCGAACTTGCTTCGAAAGGTACCATTCTGAGAGCAATTTTATCTTCATGAAAAATTTCTAGCACCAGCTTGATACGAATTGAAAAACCTTTGCTTACGAACAACCTTTCCATACCTTTACGACGAAAATTAGAACGAAACCCACAAACACGAAAAACAAATGAAATTTTGTTTTATCAGCTTTCATTCAAAAAAAAAATTTTTTCAATGCACATATGAACTTTTATAATAGCACCTACACGTGTTGGAAACGGCACGCTTTATATAGTTTTGTATAAAAAAATCTGTAAAAAGCCCGATAACAAGACATTCATTTCGCACGTGTGAAAACGAACACTACTATCAGAGTCAGACTTTATCTGAAAATGTCCACGAGGGGGAGCAAAGCAGACATACGATTTGGTCATCAGAAAAGAAAACCGAACCGCTCAAATACTACAATCTTTTCAACGATCGCTGGACTCAGAGGATCACCGACAATTGGGACTTCTTAGTGATATCAATATCTCCAATGAGATGAAACGAAGAGGAACTGAACAGCATATTACTTCCATCTCAATCAGCATTCGATTGATACTTCTGAATTTTCAGTGTAAAAAAATGTTGAAATTGTTGCTTTCTAGAGGAACTTGGATCAGGCTAAGCGAGCGCGAGAAGCTTTTAAAAATGAAAAACTTGAATAAGTTTTAAAAACTATTTTTTTTAGCTGTGATAAGCTAACTTTTGAAGCTTTAATTAGCGGTACCAAAAATTGTTTTTGATAATTATCATCAATTTAAACTATCTCTAAGCATTTACGGCAATCAGAGACCACAGAAATTAAACAGAAAAATGTGTGACTTAGTTGAAAATTAGTGAACTTGGATTGGTTCAAACTCGGAAACTTGGATTGGTTCGAACACGGGCTAAGCAGATCTTCACTTTACTTGCATTACAAAATGATTGGCTATGATTCAGTGTAGACGATACGACAACGCGCACTTCAAAGATTTTTTTGTGCAAACACAACGAAAAAATGGAACTCAATTACATGCACATTTCGGAATTTTACGAATGACATTAGGATTGACTGAAAAAGCTGAACGTCCAAAACACTCCTTGTTGCGGTAACTAAGCAGACAAAGGCTAGCCTAAAGCAGTCAAACATTTTTAGTTTGTCCAAAACGGATCCTTTCCGAACTCGAACTCCATTCGCTTGTCATCTCAAGCATGTGTGACACTAATGCGCCTATGCTTTTGTTGAAATTGAATTCAATAAACAGAGCTTCCCACCATTTTCGATACATGAAAAACAAAGCATGACAAACTGGCCATTTATTATGAGAAAAACATGGCCAAATAAGTCAAGGTACAAATTAAACCTGCATCGAAACATGCGAAACAACCTGCAACTTACGAAGCGGTAACAAAGCCAAAAACACCTAAGACACCCGTTGAGACGAAAAGATGTTTTCATAATTTCCTGTTTTAAGACCCCTCTGAAACAACTGAAACTCTACTACATAGAAAAAAAATTGAATAAAAGGAGTAGTTAAAATAAAGACAAATTTGAGAAAATGAGTGTTTCATTTTTATTTGAAGTTGTTTTCCTTGAAAAAATACGTTCCTTTTTGATAAAGCTAGCAAATCGCACATATGAAATAGCAAATTAAACATAGAGGCGAAGCTTCGCTTCGCAAACGCTAGCGAGAGCACGAGAAAAAGCAGCTCAATAAAAAGGCATTAAGAAAAAGTAGAAATAAGCTTTGAATTAGTAAAAATTCAGCTACACCTCGAATTCGAACCTTCTTCATACTGCTCCTAGAAATTCGAGTCTCACGCACTAACCACTCAGCCACGGACCTTCAATTTATAACAAACACTAGGCCAGATAAAGCAGAGAACAGATGCTATGCAATTTCCAATCTTACAGTAAAATTTCCATATAAAGGGACACTTTCAATGAACACTTTTATTTGCGAGTTAAGTTAGAAAAAAAGAAGGTTGTACTTATACTTAAGCTGCTCGCTAGTGTAAACACGTATAACAATTTCAAGAGCGACTTCTGTAACGAAGTTCTTTCGCGGAAAAAATGTCTAGAACCCGGTTGCAATAACCTTGTTTATAGCAAGGGTAAAGAACAAGAAAGTCCCATTCCAAGATCAAAATATGAAACCATTCCCAGATCAGACATTCACAATGCTGAAAGAGTAAGTGTTACATCTTAGCATAAATATCTCACAACTTTTTCATCTATTTCTAAATCTCAATCGGGTTGAAAAGCAAATAATAAAGATGTGATTTAATAATAATCATATTTTACAATAAAATAGCAACAGAAAACCATTTTTGTATATAAATAAACAAATCTCATTCTAACAAGAATGAGCACCAAATTTAGGCATACTAAATCAGGTCTCATATTATAGTTCTGTGTCTCGTGTTTACTTAGATTGCAATTAGACCTGAAATAGTTTACCTCTGCGACAGCTTCCAAGACATTTAATAAAGAGAACAAAGATGACCTTCTGAAACACCAACAATGAAAACACACGCTTCGTTTCTTTAATTACAACTACAGTTGAAAGCCGAACCATTTGACACTAATAATCAAAATCAACCTGGAATCTTAAAAAATCGCAATTTCAATATTTTGTAAAATAGTTCTCTGGATCGTTCGACAATCGGAATGCGAATGCTTTATCGGCGCCAAGCTAAAAATTGATCGATTTATTACTCGAGGAAAATTAATCTACAATAATACACATCTAACTATGGATTAAGATTAGGTACTATGAACACAACGGATATGATTTCATATGGAGTGGACGATCTTCTTACTGACAGCATTTCGAGCTGATTGAGATCAAATTGACCTAGTTTTTCTTTGACAAAAAACAATCAATTTCACCTAAATACTTTGATCAAGATTACGATTAAATACTTACTTTCTGATCACTTTTATCGTGTCAAGAAAACAAAATGTCATGACTTCAACTCGAAATGAGATTAGCCGCCAAGGGCTCGAATAAAACAGGATTGGCAGCAATTTCGCCTTCACGCATTAATTGAATCCAAAATCTTAACTTGCAGACAAACAAATCGAGCCCTTGGTCATTTTCTATCAACAAATAATTTGCTTAAATTCACCAGTAAAAAACTATTTTTTTTTGAAATCTGAACGGCGAGTTCAAGTCTAAATTGTTGGAGAGCATATAAGATCGAGATTTCCTCAAATATTAGGATTTCCCACTGATGGAGTTTGTAAATCAAAAATCAACGAAGTAAATGCAAAGGCTTAGTTGAAAAGTATATACAGATACCAAAATTGAAGCATTTTAGCATCGTGTCTTTGTTCATGCTTTAGTGCATATATATTGGATTTTGATTAAATTGACATAAAATCAGCTATAGGAATCAAAATAACGGATATTTCGTTTTCACTCTTGGTTACAAGATACGAACAAACATCTAAGAAGCACAGATTGTTTTTGTTTGAAATTAACGATAAAACTGGTAACTTAACATCAACCAGAGGCAAAGAAAAGGTAAATGTTCGTGGTTTTTATGCTACAAAACTTCTAAGATTTCACGCAGCATGTCACGTGTTCACGCTTGAAGACGATCCTCGACTCGCTAAAGCGTGAAGTAGTTCAGCAGCTATTCTCGTGTCATCTGTGATAGGTAGGGACGACCCACTTTGAAAGGTCTTTGAAGAAATAGCTGGATGCCTATCGTTAAAGGACCCGACAGCACCCGAAGATGAGGAGCCGACTTGAGTCGTAAAAAACGAAGATGAACTCGCAACGCTGTAAGGTTCAGGATCAAAGCAAGGTATGGAACACTGTGACGCTGATGATTGTGAGTTTACATTGCTGTTCGTCGGGCCGAAAATACTCGAAACCGAAGACGATACCGAACTGGATCTTTCGTTCTCGGGTTGCAATCTTCGCTCGAAATCTCCACTCGTCGGAGCATATTCGGGTTCCGAGTTGTTCGCTTTAGCCGCACAAGCACGACAAATAAAATCTTCATTTTCAGCTTGCTCATTGGTAATTCCAACACATCTTACATGGTACCAGTTTTCACAGTTATCGCACATTACCCAGTTGATGTCTTTACCATGCGGCTCTGAACATTTTAAACCAAGCGCGCATTTCTCAAAGGATGCTGACTGTTTCCTAGGTCGACCACCCCTTGGTTTTTGCTTTTTGATTGCATTGCTCTGGTTAGGTTGGTTTAGAGCAGGTAAATCATGGAAGGGAGAGATATCTTCGGGGGTTTTGGCAACCTTTTCTGACCTTCTTCGTTTGATGGTGTTCGGTGAATCGGGTTGGCTTTGCTTTTTAGAGACGGGTTTAGAACCTTCTGAATTTGAAGAGCCGCTGCTTTCATTTGGCGCTTTTCTAAAAATTTCAGCCATATATTTCAACTTTCGGTAGGGCAACTTTCTCTACTAGGATGGCTTCCAGGGTTTCTTCCTCCCTTTTTAGGTCGACCAAATTTATTTCTTGAGGTCTTCCAAAACACTTAAAACCCAATTTTGCCGAAAATGTTTCCACCGCAGACAAATTTGAAAACAAAATAGGACAAAAATGGAAGGTTTTAAAAAAAAGACAGGATGTCATAAAAATACTAAAGAGCGACCCTTAGAGGGGCAAGAAATCAAAACCCTGAAGGGGCCTGAGTCCGCCCCTGGTAGCCTCAGAATTGCCTCGCCCTGATTAACAAAAGACAAAACCAATTTCAAATTAATCAATCAACTAATCGTTACACAACTTCAATTTACTTACTTTTCGGCAATCTTTGACCGTGTGCGGGATTGACTAGATGCTGCATATCTTCGCTTCGTGGGCTTCGACCTTGCTGGGTTCTTCACAAAACTTGTTGCACTCTTCCGGGGCTCCACTTTTCCACTCGTCTTTGGCTTTTGATCTTTCCCTGTCGACACATCAATTGGTTCCTCTTTGATATCCTCTTCTTCTTCTTCTTCCTCCTCCTCCTCCTCGTCTTCTTGATCTTCAGCTGCAATGGCTGCTTGAACAATGGTCCACAAATAATGCGTTTCGTCCAGTCCGATTTCAATCAAATCACCTTCGAGCAGTAACGACTCCATAGTGTCCAGCTCACTTTCAGAGATCGTCATTACAATATCTTCTACTGTAACTTGACGCTCCTCGTTTTCAATCTTAACCGCTAGGGTCAATGGAGCGCTGACATCACTTGTAATAGAAGATCCAACGCCTTCGTCGAATGTTTGCTTCTGATCTTGACTGATGTCATTTTTTGGAGCAACTGGCTCAGTTTTCACTTCAACTGGCTCTGTTTTATTAACTTGATGATCACACGTTTCATCTTCAGAGCTGTCGAAACATACTTCGTTTTTGAAATTGAGAACTGGATAAATTGTTTCCGGTGGTTTTTTCATGGCCATTTTTGAAACTACGTTTTTGAACTTTTCTTGAGATGTTAAGTAATCGCGAGCTTTTGAGCGCCAGCACATTGCACGTTCGAACAGGCATTGGACCGCTTCGCCTTCAATCAACCGAAGAGGAATTTCTTCAAGACCGGCCAGCAATGTCAGCACATTTTCCAGTCTCGGACGTCTGGATCTCTTGCACATTGGGCAGAGGTATTTGAGATCTTTGATGGCTTCAGTGAGTGCAGCTACAGAACTTCTGCCCTGCATTTTGTAGGCAATAGATTTTGGAAGTGGGACACATGTTGTGTGGAACCAATCTCGACATAAATCACATTGCAGCATGAATCCAGAATATGGCTTCCTACACACACAGTACAGTTCCTTGTTATTATCGTCCTTCGAAGCTCTGTCGATATTTCTTGATCTTAATTCTTTCATGTCGCCAAGTTCTTCGATACATAACTCGCGGTAGTTCCTCGCAAAATACGCAGGTGACTTTGGTTCTTCTAACGAATAGTCAACAATTCGATATAGGGCAGTTTCTGTTCGTCTTCGATTTTTCGAGGCGCCGCTTCGCGACCTAACGTTAAAATTATTCCTGGGAGTTAAAACATCGGTCAAAGTCAGTTCAGAATTGCTGCTCTTCAAAAACATTTTCTCTGCTTTATCTTTCCATTCTGTTGCCGTGTCAATCAAAAACTGGACTGTTGTGTGGTTTGTCAGCTGAACGGGCAGAGCTTTGCCTTTCACTGCGAGTCCTTCTAGAACTGCAAGGTACGGTGGAGGATCTTGCTCCAGAAGACTTTCCACCCGAACAACCCAATCCTTGGCCTTACATACTGACTCTTGGAGTGCATTGACAGTCGGTAGGTAAGTTGGCAGATCTTCAGCGTCCGACAAAATACTAGCTAATTGGTCGATCGTATATTTTGGATTGCATTCCAGGCAGTATCTGGCTTTCGTTTCCCACTCCAGACTTCGGTCGTACATTTCCAACAAGCTCTTCGTCTTTTCGTTGATTTCACTGCATGTATTCGCCATAGAGCATTTATCAATCAAAGTTTTAAGCTCTTCAATTTCTATTTTCTCATCATTCAGTCTTTCGTTGACAAATTGCAGAGTATATGCCGCCTCCAGAAGAAGCTTCAATTCTGCGCAGTTAACAATCTCAACGTCAAGAGATATCGCTTTTTCATACAGCTCCTCCATTTTAGTTACATTTTCCATATCTCGCCGTGTGAGCGCTTTGTTAATATCAGACTCCAAGCATTCCACCAAATCAATGACCTCAACAATTTGTTCCGTTTCAGGTAATTCGCAAGGGATCGTTTGAACCTGGTCCAAGAACGCCTGAAGCTCTTCTAATTTCAGCTTGCTTTGCTGATGTTGACCGATTTCGTTGGTAGTGCTGTTCACAACACCTCCAGTTCTGACACGAGTTCGGTGTTTCTTAGCTGCCAGCTGTTGTGCAATCACTTGCACCTGTTCCGCATCCGCTACAGCTTGCTTCAGTTTCTCCACAGTCTTTTGCTCATTTATCTCTTCTGTTGCAGCAATTTCAACCAGGTCTTTGAACTCGTTCACGCTTAGTTTAGAACCTGGCCATGCTTCGAGAGCACTCTTCGATCGAGACAACCAATCGGTGTAGGTTTCTACTCTCTGCTGAAGGGTATCCCGATCGTCCTCCAGCTCCTCAATTGTGTATCTAAACTGAAGAACGTTCTCCCTATAGTCACATTGGCATAATTTGTCATGATGAGCGAGACAAACTAACTTCCCGGGGCTGCAAGGACACGTTAGAGCACTGTAAAAGCAAGTCAGATCGCATGCATCGCAGATGCGCAAATCATCGGCAATTTCTTCGAACTTTGTCAGCGTTGTTTTTATTAATCCTTTGCTTTCTAGTTCAGCTCTATACTTCTTTTCAATGTCCAAGGCAACCGATACATCATCGCACAAGCATTGTGAAAACTCTGCCTCGAACTTTTCGCCAGAGTGAATTATCTTGGAGATGAGTTCATCGTGGCAAAATACATTATACCTCTTCACACTTTGGTAATGTTGCAGACAGTCCCTTCCCATCGAGATCCAGTTTGGAAGACAGAAATTGACCGCTTCTGCGCAGTTGTATCCCTGGTTGAACCCAGCGTGGTAGGCTCTTGGAAGAGTAATGACAAAATCCCCTGCATTTTGAATCAGTCTGTAGACATTGACCCCGTAATTCATCAAGGTCACTGGACTCATGGTAGTCACCAGATGATGCATAAGATCTGGTTGGTTTTCAAATAATTCTGGGGCTGTATTTTTTACAGCTTGCTCTAATTTCTCGGCGTCTTTTGAGGGAACACCATACCAAGTTTTCGCTTCACCCCAATGTAAGTAATTGATCGAGTAACTCCAGTGGTCTTCAACATGCCAACAAAAAGCAGAGAAACACATTCCAATGTAGAGCCATGGAAGCTTCATGCCACTAATTTGAGCCTCAATGAACCGCATTAGAGATCTAGATTCGACTGGCATTCTATTCAAGTTCCATCCAGACACCGAATAGTCAATTCCATCTTCGCACTTCACGTTATTATCAACTGTTGGGAACCCGCTTCCAAGTTCGAACGTCTGCAGATCCGCGCCATACATTACTGAAACGTCTTCCTCCAGAGATGAAATTAGGCGCCAAAATTCGCGTTCAACCTGTTCGTAAGGAACTGTTTGTGGTGCTCTATTGAAATAGTTCCTCTTGAAGTTATCAGCATACTCGCCAAATGTTCTCACATTGTATTCAGAGGGCGACTGTTCAAAACCAAATGGGTCTGTGCTTTTGCTCTTGACCATTTTGACCAAACACTTTTGACAGTTCCATTCGGATTTCGGAAACTCTCTGACTGGAGGATCAAGACAGAACGTGTGGAAGCCACAGCCACACGAAGTACATTTCAGAATGAGTCGGTCCTGGCTAGCAGTCCCGCAGACACTACATGCAGTTGTTTGTATCTTCGCAGCATCACCATCGGGAACTCTCATCTTAGGTCCTGCTCCAATAAATTGCAATTTTTTCAACTCAGCGTTGTTTTCAACATCGCATTTATCTTTATCAGAATCTTTATCGTTAATACGTCTTGAGTACCTTCGGGAAACGTTTCTAGATCGAGATGCAATTGCAATTTTTTTCGGCTCAGAAATTGACTCTGATTTTGCTGTCTCATTTTCGCTGAGAAACTTTTCATAAGGTTTTATTATTCGATCATAATGATTCTTGAGAGTTTGAGATTTACTAGCGTCAATTCCGAGCAAAAAAGCAATATGTGGCCACAATTTCTTCTTGCATACATGTTCATATCCGCCTTCTTCTATCACAAATTTCTTTAAGGCCAGCAGGTCCACATACTTTTGGTCAATAACTGGATACTTCAGTTTTATGCTGTTCAGTTCCCAGTACTTGGTGAGTTCAGACATGAAATTAAGTTTTGTACGAGATTTTGCATCCATCTCACAAATTCGTTGGATTCTTGGCGTAAATTTCAAATTTTCAGGATCTAGCGCAAATGGCGGGTTGAATGATTTAGGGGGCCGTATTCTTGCAATTCCAGTGTTGTATACTATGGGGAAAATTGACTCTATGTATTTTAACGGATCCGCGAATTCCTCCTCGGTTGGCTCAAATGCTGGAGCATCCGGAGGCTGAACCCAAACGTCGTCGTTCATTTTTCTAAAAAATACAATTTTACGCAGAGGCGAAGCAGAGCTGCACCATTTGCAATACAACACAAACATAATACGACCTAGCAGACATAAATTGATACAAAAGCCGCTAACTCGAAACACAAGTTTTTGAATTTTTTCTCCTCTTTTTTAGGTAATCAGAAGGTCAAAAGTATCATAGTAACCGAGGTTACAGTCAGAAGTCCCTTCATCGCGTATTCCAGTCAAAATCTTTGGAATTTTCCAGAAATGGAAGTGATAATGATAAAAAGAAGATGACAAGTGTTGAAGTCCTTTTCAATTAAAATCGATACGGGTTACGTTTCTTCAATAAGAACACGCAACTCGACACAGGAAAATATAATATACAAGTGTTACAAATAAAAAATTTCGTCGAAAGTTATTTTGTCATTTATTGTTCCGAGTACGCAAGCGGCGTTAGCAATATGTATTGCCAGGTAGATTCTCTGTTTTAAAAAGACGCTGCCTGCTCTGGGTTCCTCGGTGCATATGGAACGACATCATCAATATATCTCAAAATATTTAGATGTAAAATTTTGAAACCCTACGGCGTTGAGCCAATTCTCAATTACAGTCTCTCCTACAAGGAGACGTAATTTTAAATTTATTTTTCCCTTGTTTTAGTGGAGAAATCGTTTTAGTTGGAAAATCTTTTTACATTTTACCATGTTAGAATTGAAATGGTCTACATTGTAGCAGCTAGCTCACTCTACCACAGACTGGAACAACTTAGCAACCCGGAAAAAGAACAATTTCTACCCAAAATTTTGGCTATTCCGGGACTTTCTTTAAGCCCGAACACCACGAACCCACAGAAGAACCTCGCAAGCCTACTCTGCAGGGCACCTCTAGCAGAAAAACGTCAAGTGGTGGTATGGCACGACATCATCAATAATTCTATCAACAGCCACCGCACAAACAATTTCAGAGCTTGCACTGCAGAGGAATTGACAGAAATCTTGAAGACACTAACAAATATCAGCGCAATTGTATACTGTCAGAGAAACGGTACACCGGATATCAGGAACCAGCTGATCAGCTCGGGTTTTCTTGTCATTCCCATTACAAAGTGTCTCATTTCAAAGAGGAAGAGAAGAACGGAGCTGGTCAACGAATATCAGGCACTGCACCAGGACGTCCAGCTGGAGCTAAAGTCTTTGAGCATTGTGTTCGAACACCAAGACAACCTGCCAGCTGTCTTGTCCAAGCTTCGTTCAAACACGAAAAAGAAGGAGGGCGGAGAAAATAAGACTGGTGAACATAGGCGAAGCAACTGTTGGTCGGACTGACGAGGAGGCTTCAACGGAGAGGGTGAGTTAAAATTGTGTTATTTGAGTTGCTTTGTGTCACGTGAGGTTTATTCCTCGTGGCCTGCAAACCAATGAGCACAGTTGTACTCCCACCTCCATTCTTGATTTGGACTTTGAAAAACAAACTCATTTGGAAATTAGTCCGTGATTATGCCTCCATATATGTTAAATTTATCAACTGTCACCAACGTATTTAATTTTTGAGAGTTTGTCTAGAAAACGACATTATACCTGATTTTTTGAGGTTCAGGGTACCGGAAAATGGGGTGTTTTCGAACCAAGCGGTACACCGTTTTCAGACAAAACTTCTAAGAACGGAGATAAATAAGGCAAGGACAGATGAGAAAAACGTTGAAGTCAAACTAGAAAGGGCGAGCAGCGCAGTACAGAGTGGTGTAGATGAGAAATTTTGGCCTTCGGTAATTAAGTAATTAAGTCTTAGGGGACAAAGACAAACAGCAACAGTCAAAGAGACCCATCAGAAAAAGCTAATGAAACTATCAGAAAGGCAAGACCGACCTCTAGGGAAGCAAAGTGAGGGTTCGGTAAGAGCTCTTGATGATGTTGAATTACCAAATTGGGTACAACAAGTGTTGGCATTAGGGCCAAAGCATCCCGTCAGGTATAAATTTAATGAGACACACTTTCTCCCCGACATTGACATCTTTCTATCGGATCTCAAAAATCGTAAAGTCCCCGTGGAGGCCCTTTGTGAGATCGAAGCTGTGGCAAAAGCCTATGCTAAGAGGGTGAAACAAACACCATCTGACAAAGGCGTTGAGAAGGCCCGAAAGTATCTGAAGAGTAATGGATTAGTTGCGGTACCGTATGACAAAGGCGTGGGTTTTTGTGTAATGAGGAAGGACACCTACGAGAACAAGTTGTCGGATACATTAGATTCAAATCAATTCAGCAAAACAAAGGAACAAGTGATGCGATTGTTTTGAAGATAGAAAGAGACATCAATAAGGAGTTGTTGGCTATGAGGAAAAAAGATGAAATAAGTGAGAGTCTCTACACAAGGATGAGGTCTACTGGGGGGCAGCCCGCCAGGCTTTATGGGTTGGCGAAAGTGCATAAAGTGAATACCCCATTAAGACCGGTCCTCTCCTTGCTTGGTAGCTCTTATTATAAGTTGAACAAAGTTCTTGCTAAATTTTTCGAGAAAATTGAGGGCGCAAACATCGAAACCAACTCACTAGATGCGAGAGAAATCTTAGAGAGCACTAATCTTGAGCCCAATGAAAACTTGATATCTCTAGATGTGAAGAGTTTGTACACAAATGTTTCAATGAAAGAAGCGCTAGACATAGCTCTGAGAAAACTGTATGAGCAAGATGAACCACGAAGAGACTGTTGAACATGGCAGTTAGTCAAGTCCATTTCAAGTGCAATGAAACATGGTACGTTCAGAAAGATGGTTTGGCAATGGGGGCATCTCTTGCCGTTATTATAGCAAATCTTTGGCTGAAGCAGTACGAAACTGCACTATCAAGGGATATTCCCGAAATGTTTTTGCCCGAGAAAGATCTTCACGGAATATGTCCCGAGTGCAATAGGAAAGTCACGTACAGTTCAAAAGGTGTAGAATGTGAATGCTGTTTGAACTGGTATCACGTAAAATGCGGTGATATATCAGATGATGAGTATCGAAATATAAGTGAAACCGTCTGGTACTGCAGAAAATGCATCGCAATAAGGGAGAAAAATAAGTCAGCGCAACAATCTAAATTGTTTCTCCGTCACGTTGATGATATAGTGAGAACAGTGAAGGGTGATCCTGAAAAAGTGCTACGGGCTGCAAACTTACTACATCCAAAGTTACAGTTCACAATAGAGACACCAAACACAAACGGAACTTTGGCATTTTTGGATTTTAAAAAAATTAGTACTGACAAAAGCAGGAAAATTAGCTGTGGGTGGTATCAAAAACCAACAGATACAGGTACCATACTCAATTTTAGAAGCTGCGCCCCCTTCAGTACAAGAGAAGTGTGATTGAAGGATTTGTTCACCGGGCTTTCCGCAGTACGTCAACATGGGAAGAATATGATAAAGCCATGAAAATCAACCGTGAGCAGTGGTTGGATAACCAATATCCGGAAAGTTGGTCGTCGCGGGTTGCATCCCATGCCCTTGAAAAGATCATCAGCGAGGGCAAAAACCAAAAAGAACATGGCTGAGCAAAAGAAGCCCTGTGATTATAGCAGTGATTCACCATCCATCTTGATGGTCCAATATATATTGGGAATCACAGTCAGACATTAGCAAAAAAAGTGCGCGATATCACCAATGCGCTGATAATATTCACGACGAGGAAATTGAAAACTTGTATGCCCTATCTAAAATCCTCCTTTTCCAGTGAACTGAAATCAAAAGTGGTGTACAGACTTGAATGTTGTGGGTGCAAATCCATCTATGTTGGCCAGACGGTCCGAGATCTCACCACAAGGATTGAGGAACACCGAAAAGTGGATACCCCAGTTGGACAGCATACAAGGCAGTGTGGTAGTGAGCCTGGTAAGTCTGAGTTTAATTGGAAAATAATCGACCAGGCGTCCAGCAGCATCAAGTTACTTACATTAGAGGCGCTGCACATTAGGAAAGAGAGACCGGCAATTAACACGCGCGACGAGTTTAGAAGTAGGGAGCTGACACTAAGGCTATAGTTCCAGAATCCAAAAATTTTGGCTAAAACAAAAAAATTTTGAAACAACTTACATGTTACCATAAAAATTAGCCACAAAATGAAAATGTGAAAACAAAAAAAAAAATGAAGAAAACTCTCAGAAATTTGTGACAAAAATTTTTAAAATGTTACATAATAGTTGTTACATAATTTCAGTGATATTTGTAAAATTTTGATTTGTTGAATTTTTAAAATTTTGAAGTAATGATGTGTGTGACACTTTTTATGATCTTTGATCATTTTGTACAGATAGTTTAGAATTTTTAAAACCTGAAGATGCACAAAATGTGCCAAAACGTTTGTTTGAATTTACAATTTTAACGCATTCTCAACATATGCTTATAGGTTCTTACAATGCTTGCTCAAAAAAATTATGTGCTGGGGCCGGCCGTGCCCTGAATCTCAAAAACTAGCGGGTGAAAAAGATACCCATCATCTACAAGATCTTTATTTTTGTAATTTTTTACTCTTCCGTGTAACAGTCGCCTACTTAAGTCACATATGAGGTTAAAGAAAAGTAGGCCCCATAACCATTTGCTCAAGATTCAGGGACACTATCTCTTGTGTTTTTCTACCTCAAGCGGTCGGAGCCAATTCGGTTCATTTGCGACATGAGACTAAAACCCTTGTCACAGCTTAAAGGCCACTACCAAAATACCCCCACTCTAGAAAATAAAAACGCCCCAATACTTAGGGCTCATAATACCTAAAATACATGAACGCCGTTAAAAACAGGGTCGGAACCTTATGTATAGTTACTTTTTATTAGACAGTGGACCTTCGATCCATTTCAGATGGATCAACCTGAAAACTCTCCCTAACTCAACATAACAATATAAAACACACTCAAGAAAATTCAATTAGGTACTCACATACCGACACAATCTCTAGAATCGAGTAAATAAATTATGAAGAAACTCTAGAATTTTGTCTTTTTGGACTTACTGTTTTTTTTTAATTTTTGTTTTCAAATAAATTTATTTTTGGCTTT